AAAAATACAAAGTATACATAAAACACTTTTTTTAAAAAAATATTTTTTTAGTTATACATGGACATAGTATCTTTATTTTGTTTATTTACTTTTATGTGGTGCTGAGGATCAAATCCAGCGTCTCCCACACGGGAGGCAAGTGCTCTACTGCTGAACCAATATCCCAGCCGCCACATTTTTTATTTTTGGTGATGCTGGGGATTGAACCCAGGGTCTTGTTCATGTGAGACAATCACTCTACCAATTGAGTTATAGCCCCAGCTCCCTACATAAAATATTTTTGCTGCACACTAAATAATTCTTAAGTAGTGGTTATAAGCTGAAATAGCTGTTTTTTAAATTTTTTATTCTAATTTGTTATCTATGAATGCATTACAATTAATATTACACATATAGAGCACAATTTTTCATATCTCTGGTTGTAGCTGTTTTGTTTTTATCATGGAATAGTCTTTCATTAAAAGATCTATTGACATACAAATAGATTATTCAGACTAGGGTATTTGGCACACACTTTCTTGAAAATTAAGTGAAATTTTCAATTCAAGGAAAATACCTACTTATTATCATTGATATAACTGTGCTTTCAAAAATAAGAATTTTTATTTTTCAAGATTCTTCAATGAGATTGGAGTAATATTAAAAATGTGATTTTTTGATAATGTAGACACAATGTGTCAACATTTGGAAGATTTTCATAACTTAGTGAATCAATTTTGCAAATGACCAGTGTAACATATTATAAAATCATGCATGCTTTAAGAGATTTATTCAAAGTGCAACATGGACTAAGAACTTTTTTCATTTTAATTTTAACAGCTTTTTTGAGGTATAATTGAGCATAAGGTATACATGTTTTTACATATGAACACATGTATGAAACTACAACAGTCAAGATAACAAATATGAGTATCACTCCCAAAAGTTTCCCTATTTCTTTGCAATCTCTCCCTCCTGCCCTTCTCTGTTCCCCAGCAGGCTACTATTGACCTGATTTTTCTCACTCAAGTTTTGTTTACACTATTTAGAAATTAATATAAATGGGACATTATGTACTCTTTTGGGTCTGATTTCTCTCACTGATCATAATTATTTTGAGATTCATTCATGGTGTTCCATGTATCAGAAGTTTGTTTCTTTTATTCTGTGTACTATTCCATTATGTGGATATACCATGAATTATTTATTCATTTATCTATTGATGGACTGTTATAACTATTGGCTATTGCAAACATGGTTATGAACATTTGTGTATAAATTTTTGTGCAGATATATGCTTTCGTTAGTTCTGTGTAAATACCTAGGAGACAAACAGCAGGGTCACATGTAAACATTTCCTTAACTTTTTTTTTTTTTTAAAGAAACTGCCAAAGTGTTTTCCAAAGAAGTTGTACCAATTTACATTTCCACTGGTAGTATACATGAGTTTTAGTTGCTCCATGTTCTCACCAACACAGTCTGGTTAGTCTTTTTGGTTTTACCATTAAATAGGTAGGCAGTGGTATTTTATTGTCATTTCAATGTATATTTTCACTGATGATGTTGTGTCTTTATTTCCCACTTATAAGGTGTTTTTGGTGAAGTGTCTATGTAACTTTCTGCTCATTTGTTTATTGGGTTTTAAAAAATTATTGAGGTATGACAGTTTAAAAAAATGCACAATCTGGATACAAATTCTTTATCAGATATATGATTTGGCTTGGCTTGGCTTGTTGTTTCATCTTCTTAACAGTGTCTTTTGAGAAGAAGTACCTAATTTTGATGAAGTCCAATTTATCCTGTTTTTTTTTAATTGATAGTACTTTGGGTTTCATATCCAAGAAATTTTTGCCTAACAGAACTCCACAAATATGTTTCATGCTGTTGTAAATGGCATTTTATATTTCAATTTCAGATTTTTCTTTGCTAGCATAATACAAATACAATTTACTTTTGTATATTGCTTTTGTAACCTGTATCCTGCTCATCTATTAGTTTTGACAGCTTTTTAAAGATTCTCAGGAGAGACTTTTGTAGAAGTTTCAATGTGTTATCTATAAATAAAGCCAGTTTTACTTCTTCCTTCCTGATTTGAATGTCTCCTAATTCTTTTTCTTATTACACAGGCAAAAATTCCCAGTACAATGTTGAACAGAAGTAGTGAGAACAGAAATTTTTGCTTTGTTCCAGTTCCTAGGGTGAAAGCATTCAGTTCTTCACCATTAGGAGTGATGATTTTTATAGTTGCTCTCAATCAAGTTGAGGAAGTTTTCATGTAATTCTAGGAGTAGACTGGATCATTTTTTAAAAATCTTAGTTAACATGGTGAATTACATTGATTGATTTTTTTCCAATGCTAATTGAACTTTGCATTCCTTAGATAAGCCCCCATTTTTGCTCATGGTGCACTATCTTTTGTGTATTATGGTATTTACTTGTCTATTATTCTTTTGGCAGTACTGGGGATTGAACTCAGAAATGCTCTATCACAGAGCTAAAACCTCAGTCCTTTTTATTTTTTAAAAGTTCTTTTTAAAATTTATTGTTTAGTTGTAGATAAATGCAGTACCTTTATTTTATTTATTTATTTTTATGTGATGCTGAGGCTTGAACCCAGTGCCTCACGTGTGCTAGGCAAGTGCTCTACTATGAAGGTCTCACCAAGTTGCAGAGGATGGCCCTGAACTTGTGATCTTCAGCCTCCCAAGTAATCAGGATTACAGGTATGCACCACCACACTTGGCTATATTGTGCAATGTAAATAGTTAAAATTTTGTTAAGAATTTTTGCTTCTAGAGGCTGGGGCTATAGCTCAGTTGGTAGATTGCTTGCCTTCCACGCACAAGGCCCTGGGTTCAATGCCTGGCACCATGAAAAATAAAGAATTTTTGCATTTATGCTTATGAGGGATATTGGTCTAGAGTTTTCTTGTTTAATATTTAGGGTTTGGGGGTTGGCGTTGTAGATCAGTGGTAGAGCACCACTTGCCTAGCATGTGTGAGGCAGTGGGTTCGGTTCTCAGCACCACATATAAAACAAATAAATCAATAAAGTCCATCAATAACTAATAAAAATATTTAGAAAAAAATATATTTAGGGTTTGGGTATTAGAGTGATGCTTCAGAGAATAAACTGGGAAGTATTTCTTTCTTTTCAATTTTCTGGAGGATACTAAGTATAATTAAAATGTTGTCATCCTTTAAAATATACCATATTAATACCATATAACAGAGAACTGGAGTGACTCTATTACTATCAGATAAAGTACACTTTGAATAAAGAATATTAACAGGGAAGCAGAGGGCCATTTGTACATTGGATCATTTCATAGTGATAAAAAGGCCCTGGGTTTGATCCCCAGCACCACGCACACATAAAAAATTATCTAAATAACAGAATAATTACTTTTATAGAACTAAGGGTGGAACCTCATAAAAACATTTAATAAAAATGGACAGAACTACAAGAAATAGAAGAAGACCCACAATCACAGTCAAATTTCTATATTTTCTTAATAATAGAATGAGAAGACAGAAAATCATGAAGAATATAGAGGATTTGAGTAAAAATATCAACCAACTTGATTTTTTATTTTATTGTACTGGGGATTGAATCAGTATTCAGAGTGCTAAGTAAGTGCTCTGCCCTGAGCTATAACCCCAGTATTTATTTTTATTTTTTTGAGACAGGGTGTCACTACATTGCCCAGGCTGGCCTCCAACTTTTGGGTTCTCCTGCCTCAGCCTCTCCAATCTCTGAAGTTTACATGCCAGCACCACTGCTAGGCTTCAACCCACTTGACTTGATTGAGATTTGTGGAATACTTCACCCAATAACTGTGGAATACACATTTACTTCAAATACACACTAAAGATTTACTAAGACTATTCTCTGGTCCGCAGAACAAATATCAGTAAATTTTAAATAATTCAAATGATGGAAAGTATATTCCCTGATCACAGTGACATTAAATTAGAAATCAATTATGAAAGATAATCAGAACCTCTTAATATCAGACCAAGTAACACACTTAAAAAGAATCCATGAGTCAAATAAGAAATCAACAGAGAAATTAGTATTTTGAAACAAGGAAAATGAAAATACAATGTATTAAGATATGTGGGATACAGCTAAGGAGTGCCTGGAGGACACTTACCCCACCAAATGTCTATATTACAGAAGAGACATCTTACATCAAGGACCTGTTTCTGTGTTAGGAAAGCAAAAAAGTAAAATTAAAACCTTAAAAACTAAAAATAATTTAAAGCATTAGAAAGGAAATAATTAACAGAAGAAATTAATTACCTAAAGAAGCAGAAAAAAAAAATTAGAGCCTAAAGGAGGCTTTGAGATCTGAGAACCGCTTTGTGATTCCTAAATCTGATAAACCTCTCCCCAGATTGGTCAGGAAAAATGACACAGATGAGGAATTCAAGGAATGAGAGGGGTCGGATTTTTTATAGGCATTACAAGGGCAATAAAGAAATATTAACAGATTCACATGAACAAATTAAAACAATTTGGATATTTTCACAAATTATTAAAGCTTACTCAAGAGGAAACAGCAATAAGAATTTATTGAATTAGTAAGTGCTAACTATTATGGTCAGAGTGCTGAATCCCGGCTTTACAGAAGCTCTCAGTTTATTGCAGAGGAGAAACAACAACTAAAGTTAATGCTGATCCAGAGGAAAGAAGTGGAGGAAAACTGGTTCATGGAAAAACTTCTCGGGGGTATAAGAATCGGCTGAAAACGTTCAACAGAACAAGAATTGCAAGCGAGCTCGGACGCACATAGGATCCACAGGACCAGGTCCTCACTCTTGCTAACTCCCAGTCTCAGGTTAGTGCCAGCTAGCTCTTTCCCACCCACTCGGCAAGCCAATGAGCAATCACCTAGGGTTTTGCGCTTGCGCATTATAGCAAAGAGCGCTTAGGAGGGGGCTAGGCGGCTGCCGGAAGTGTGACCTCTAGCGCTCGTTGGTGGTTCCCATCCGGGGTCATGTCGATCTTCCGGATATCTCTGACAGGCTTTCTAAGCCGCTTTTTCGGCGACTTTTTGGTCTTCCGCTTTTTGCCACCGCCCCCAACCCTCCACACCCTTGCGGGCCCTGCCTTTTCTTGTGTCGCTCCTCCCCTGGCAGCCGCGCTCCGGCTTAGATTGTAAGCCGGAACGGGAGCTGGGCCTAGCCATCGCACTACCACTACTACCTCCTGTGGCTCCGGCGCAGCCACGACCGAGCACGCCTGGCCGCCGCCGCTGGCTCCTGGGAACGCTTGGGCAGGCAGTTCGGGTAGGCGCTGTTGACCCCTTCTGCAAGGACACGTGTGAGTTTAGGGGGCTTCGGAGAGGGATACAGCTGTGAAGGCCCTAGTCGGGGGCGGGGCGCGTGTAACTTTCTGAAACTAGCGTTTTGTTTTGCGTGGGAGGGTCTGGCAATACCTTGTAGCTATCTTAGAATTACGGGCAGCTCCACTTTCCGGAAAATCTCAGGACCACTTCTCCAGTTTTCTTTTCCTGGAATCCTGCCCCCACGCAGCCTCCAACCTCCGCTCCCTCCCTGCCTTGTCCTCAGTCCAGAATCAAAAGAGGAAGATTGCCTTGGGACTCCTGCATGGTGTTTCAAAAGGCGGGGAAGAACTAAGGTAAATATCTAGATTAATGAACTATTTCACTTTTTGACGTGTTGTGACATTATTATGTCATATGTTCTATTGTCAGATTTCGGTGAGCTGGGTTGAAATATAGTGGAAAATTGCTGACTTTTTTGAATTGGAATGTGTGTGTGTCGTGCTGGGGTATGAATGCAGGACCTCATGCATGCTAGCCACATCTCTAACCATAATTAACCACTTAAAAGGTATTTACCTTTGGGCTGGAGTTGTGGCTCAGTGGTAGAATGCTTGTAAGGCCCTGGGTTCTATTCTCAGTACCACATATAGATAAATGAATAAAATAAAGGTCCATCAATACCTAAAAAATATATTTAAAAAGGTATTTACCTTTTAAGACTTATAATTAAATGAGGCGAAATTGCCTCAGTTCTTCATTTTATGGGAAAATTTGCAGGTTGGCCTGATAGTAGAATACTCCCCCCCACCACCTTTTTTTTTTGGTACTGGGGATCGAACCCAGGACCTCCCACAAGTTAGGCAAGGGCTCTGTCACTGAGCTATACCCCTGGCCCTTTTGAGACTTGCCTTGCAAAGTTGCACAAACTGGTCTGGAATTTGTGATCCTCCTGCCTCAGCCTCCCAAGTCACTGTAATTACAGGTATGTACGTCCTGGCCCAGCCTTTATATATAGGATCTTTATCTCTCTCTAGGTAAGAACACAGGGGCCTGTGTCTCACAAGTTCTGGGTTATTTAGATTGTCTTGTTTTGTCTCTTTAAACTTTGTTCAAGTTAGAAGTTATTTATATTTAGATTGCACATACCAGTAGGGTGAACAGAAAAGAATCAAAGAGAAACTGCTAAACTCAAGCCAAGTTGGCAACTTACTAACATATGTTCCTTGTGTAATTTTGTGAGGAAACTGATCATAATCAATCACTAGGTTGTTTTTTTGTATGACTGGCAACATACTACTTTTGTAGATACCATATTTAGTTACCACAAGGTTTTTAAAATGTACTGATTAGCAATCATAAGATTCTTAATTTGTACTGATTAATACCCAATAATATTTAACGTTTTTAACCAATAACATTTGTTAGTATGCATAGCCCCAATTATGTCTGTCTAGAAGTGTCCTGTAATACAGAGGTTCCATGTGAAACAGGCCAGTCAGTAATTTGGAACTATGTTCTTTTTTTTTTTTTTTTTTTTAATATTTTTTTAGTTGTTGATGGACTTTATTGTCTTTATTTTTATGTGGTGCTGAGAATCGAACCCAGTGCTTCATGCATGCTAGGTGAGCACAACCCCAGCCCCTGGAACTATGTTCTTTTTTTAAAACATGAGATTCTTTTTTAACACTTGGATGGGGTTTAACACTTGGATGGGGTTTAATTCTTAATGTAAAGGAATACTGTGTTCAGAACCTGCAAGTGATTTTGACAGTTGGTGAACAGCATTTAGGAATTGGACTTTTTCAGTTGTGAAGGATAAAGGTAGGTTTGGGAGATCAAAGGTATGGACAAGATGAACAGATAAGTTGGTTTAGCCAGTATAGTTTCAGTGTTTTTTTATATTAGGTATATTCTGTTTTCCAAATGATGAAGGAATTATGTAACCTTGAATGTTCAGTAATTTGTTGGGGGAGAGGTCAAGTTCAGGACAGAAATTCCCGATTGTAAACTAGAGAATCAAATACTATATCACTAGGAAATACTTTGTAAAATACTTTATTACTACCATATCTCATTTATGATTATTGACAAATAAGTTTGTATAATTTCCCATTAGGGAAAACTTATTTAGGAAACAATCTTTCAGGTTCTCTCCTTAATGCAAGAAAGGATAGAATGGTTTAAGAAACAGTTTAAATTTACGCAGATTATTATATTTTAAAGTTAAGGACTGACAACTTTTAAGGTAAGAAAAATAGGATACTGCCTATCCTGAATTTTATTATAAAATTTGTCATACCTATTACCACAGGTTAAGCAGAGTAATGCTTAATATAGATCATAACTACTTCGTGAACAATTTTTTCATTAAGAATATAAAGAGGAATGGGGATGTTAAATCAGTGGTAGGTGTTTGCCTAGAAGGCACAATGCCCTGGGCTCCATCATCAGCATCACAAGAGAAAAAAAAAAAAAATGTATACACACACACACACACACACACATATGCACGCACGCACGCATATGCACTCACACATGAAGAAAATAAAAGTTCTAAAATTTTGTAAAGTTATGGTATGGCAATGGTTTTACTTGATTTTATTCTGTCAAACTCTATATTCTACTTAAAAAAGATCTCTGGTAATATTTATAATGGATTGTAGTTTTTCCCAAATCATTGTTGAAATATTTTAGAAAAAAACAATTGAAATTCATGGGCTTTTGGTTTACTTATCTCTAGAAGGCCATGCAGGATACTTATATTGGGGAACATTGCATGCCACTGATAAATTTCCTGGGAATGACTCTCTTCACTTGAAGTCTGAATTGTTTAAGAGCCTGATTTCTGAAGAGAACCTGACAGATGCATTGTTTTCAAGGGACTGCAGAAATGTCAATTCTTATCTGGGAATTTTAGATCGTCTGAATTCTAGTTATTTTCCCTAGAGAACTTTAGGTTGTAGAATCATTTTAAACTTTTAAGCCTGGGGTGTTGGTTAATAACTTTGTAATTTGAACCACAGGACACCTTTTGACTTATATTTAGTTTGCGTTTGCTCATGTAATGGGATAGGAATAAGATAAGGTTGGTACCTAGTTCATTTTGCATCTTAAAGTCTGAAATGCACACATATAAAGACCCTATTTGGATCTAGAGGAAAAAAAATCACAAAAACCTTATAGGTATAAATAAAAGTGTCTATGTTTTAAATTCTGAACTTATTTGAATAAACCTGAAAATAGACCCCCACCTCATACTGGGGATTGAACCCAGGATCTTGCACATGCTCTCCCACAAGTTGCATTTCCAGTCTGAAAATAAAACATTTTAATTGTTTTTCTGAATACAGATTCCTTTCTTTGATTGAATCTATAGTATCTGTATTCCAACAAAATGAGATGTTAAGCAGGATGAAGTACAGTGAATTATATTTAATTTCATATCTTATTAGTCCTATGAAATAGGAATTATGTTTTGTGGGAAGTTAGGTCAGAGAATCAGAATAAAGAAGGCTGAGGTCCATCCCAAGACAAAAGATAGAACGGGAGTTAGTTGCCACAATTATTGAATGTACTTTTAATAATGGATTCCCTAGAATGCTGTTTAGCAATGTATTTGTCCACTTCCTTTGTTCAGTGAACTTCAGGGAGTAAAGGTCAGCAGATATTGATTTTCTTTCTTTTTTTAAAAAAATATCTCCTTTAACAAGAAAGTTATAGGAGAAACTTTCTTCTGCCTGCTAAGAAAAGTTGAAAAATTCTGTTTTTCTAGGGGTAATACTGTGTCTCTGGGACAAATTATAGAGTCAGGCATTGGGATAAAATTTGATGATGGTCCAGAGACTCTTGTCCATAGTTGTTGATGAACTCTGGGCTGACGAATCTCACTGTCTGTGGCCAACCTAGGGAATGTTAATCTTACAGAATTAAAGCAAAAGCAAGGACCAAGTCTATATGAATGATTTAGTAGTTTCTTCCCAGATCTTTTTTTTCCCTTCTGTTGGCTTTTCCAGTTTTTCCAACCCTCCTAGTCTCAATCTCCAGAGACATAACCATTTCATTTCTTTTAATTTGGCTACGTGTTATTTTCCTCTGTTTAAAAAAGAAAAAAAATTCCATAGCTCATTATTTTGATTTACTTTTACTGAAAATGAAGATTTAGCATCTTTTTGTATCTTTTGTTACCCTCCACATTAGTATGTATACAAAAATTACTATATATATATACACATACACACAACATAATAAATCTAATATATAAATGCAGTATATAATAAATAATGTATAACAAATGATCACTTTTTGCTTAAATCAGTGTATTTAGTGATTAGATTATTATAAGAACTGAGTATGAATATATTTCCTTTTTTATATTACCTTTAAAGTGTTTTTCTGTAGTTTATTTTTAATTAGGTGCTTTTCTATATTTCTATAATTATTTCTGCCCTGTTAGCTGAACTCTCTGATCAAATATATCAGATAATCTACCAGCTAAATTTTTTTTTTCTTTGAATATTTCTAAAACCTTCCATCCTCCTGCTCTAATTTTGAGCTATGAGCTTTCTTTTAACATCATCTTAGAAATTTACTTTGTTTCTGCCCTTTCTTGCATCAGGTTTTCTTTTTCTTTTTATTCTACATGTTGAAAAACATTTTTATTCTTGCTTGCATGGATAGTATAGCTGAGTATAGAATTACACCTTAAGGGCATTGAAGGCATTAGTCTATATCTTGTAGTTTCTATTGTTGCTTTGGGGAAGTTGAAAGGCATTTTGATTCCCAGCTTTTTTTGTTTGTTTACTTTAACATTTTCCTCCTCTGGAATATTTTTTTAAAAAATGTTTTTAGATGTAGGTGGACACAATAGTTTTTTTTTTTTTTTAGTTGTTAATGGACCTTTATTTTACTTATTTGTATGTGGTGCTGAGAATCAAACCCAGTGCCTCATACATGCCAGGCAAGCGCTCTACCATGGAGCACAATCCCAGCCCTCCTCTGGAATATTATGAACTGTATTTTCCTGATAGTCTGAAATTTTATCACAATAACTTTGATTTGTATTTCTTTTATTGTCGTTTGTATTTATTGGATTCTTTTAATCTAGGGAATAATTATATTTTGAAAAACATACCCAGTCCTGGGTATATTTTGATTTTATTTGTTTGGTAATTTCCTTCTTTATATTTTTTCTGTTCCTCCTGGATCTTATATTAATAATGTTGGATATTGGATCACATAGTTTGATTTTCTTTTCTTTCCTGTTGACCTGCCTCTTTTCTGTCACTATCAATTTTTCCTTTTTGTTTTATTTAAAAAAAATTTTTTTTATTTGTTTATTTCTTGTGGTACTGGGGATTGAACCCAGGACACCCTACCACTGAGTTATATCCCTAACTCTTTCTCAATATTTTATTTTGAGACTGGGTCTCCTTAAATTTCCCTGGGCTGGTCTTGAATTTGCATTCCTGCCTCAGTCTCCTGAGTAGCTGGGATTACAGGTTTCTGCCACTGTGCTGGCTTTTTTTTTTTTTTTTTGGTGTGTTGTGTGTGCGTGACAGTGTTTCTGTTTATATTCACAGTTCCTTTTTTGTCTTTTTTTTTTTTCCTTTCTTTCTCCCCTTTTGGTGATTTATGAATGTCTGTTTTGAGAGTTACTGGAAGTCTATATGGAAGCTCTATATTATAGGTGGGGCCTGTTAACTACTAAGCTTCTGTGTAGGTTGATCAAGTACTACAGCAAGCTTGGCTTTTCCTTGGTGGACACCAATTATGCTATAATTTTTCTTGTTACTATGTTATATAGTTTCTCTCTGGTTTTGTTCAGATAAGTTTTTTTTTTTTTTTTAATTGCTTGCTTTGGGAAGGTGACCTGGGGTCCCATTTTTACTTTGTACATTTTATTGAATACTTGTTTTTGGTTTGTTTCCTTACCCTACCCTTTTGTAAGACTAGTCTTGCTGGATCAGTCACTGCAGAGAATAAATATCAAATTCTCTGCCTGGGTCAGTAAAAGGTTCTGATTTCCTTATGTAGTTTTTCCATGTTCCTGTGGAACAAAGCCCTCTTATTGGAAATCTTTTGTAAAAATTATGTAGACTTTGAAAGGAATCTCAGAATTTAAAAAATTGCTGGGTGGTATAAATTCCTTCCCTTGTTTCATCAGATTTGTAAGATCCAAATCCTAGGAATCAAGTTGTCATATGATGGCTTACACTTTTGTATGAATTGCATTGAGAATAAATGTAAAAATCTCTGAGATTTGATTAAATATCTGTCTTGAATGATTCCTTTGTTATTATTGTATGTGGTAATAACTTGATTTTTAAAGAGATGTGTTGATATTGGATAAACCCATCAGAAAATTAGAAATATGCATATATTTTACATATATTATTTGAATAATGTGGTTAATCTAGGTGTGGTTAAAATTCATTATAAGTTTCTTTGTTACTGAGTGTAGTACTTAAGAGACCTATTCAAACTTTTAAAAATAAATGTAAATGAAATTAATAACTTGGTAATATTTGTTTTTTTTATTAAATGTTTTATTTTTAAATTTAATTGTCTTAAACAGCAGGTAATAGTTATCAAAGCATTCATTATCTTTTAAGCTATAATAATTTAGTATTGTCTTTTTAAATTATTCTAGGAAAGGAATACATGTTCACTTTCAGTGAACAGGAGCATGTTCCCAAACTCAATTTTGGGTCGCCCGCCATTCACTCCAAATCAACAACAACATAATAACTTCTTTGCCCTGTCACCAGCTCTTTATTCACACCAGCAGCTTATAGATGCACAGTTCAATTTTCAGAATGCAGAGTAAGTATGTTGCTATTTTGGTCCATGTTGTTATGTATTATTTTCTATTTGACATAAACCCTTTTTAGGTGAAATAGTTCATGGTAGAGAAAATGTTATTATTTTCTTTTGATCAGTGAAGTATTTAGTTTTCTGAAATTGGTTTTTGTTTTTAAGGAAAAAATAAGTGTATTTATATTGTTCTTTCTTTGTTTTTGGTAGCTTGTCTAGAGCTGTGTCATTACAGCAGCTGACATATGGAAATGTCAGTCCAATACAGACCTCAACATCCCCATTATTTCGAGGAAGGAAGTAAGTACTTCTTAGTTATGTTAAGAGAAAATGTCAGTATTGTCTGAGAACTGTGTAATGATTTATCTTATATAAAACTGTATGGTTATTCTGTCCTAGATTTTTTACTGGGACCTGTGCAATCAGATCAGTAGATCAGTAACAGAATTTAAAACTTTTTGTGTGTTTAAAGTTTTTTAGGGATACTTTAATTTATTACTGACATTATAAATAGATGAAATGAAGCTATATTTTTTTAGAAAACTACTTCTTAGTTGAGATTTTTAGCCAAATCACATGGTCTTCTGTATTTATGCTAGGGTTGCCACAGTGAATTATTACAGACTGATACTGAATGGCTTAAAAAACCAGAAATTTATTTTCTCACAATTCTGGAAGCTAGAAGTCCAGATTATGGTATCAGTAAGGTTGGTTTCTTCTGGACCCTCTTTGGTTTGTAAACTACTCCCTCACTATGTCCTCATGTGCTTATCCCTTTGTGCCCTAAATACTCTTAAATACACCAATCATCTTTAGGACCTATCCTAAAGACTCCATTTTAACTTAATTACCTCTTTAAGGGCCCTATCTCCGAACATGGTCATATTCTGAAATACTGAGGATTAGGATTTTGACCTTTGAATTTCAAGAGGACATAGTTTAGCTCATCATACTTCTATTTCTTTTCTTTTTAAAAAAATGTTTGTTTATTTATTTATTTATATATTTATTTTAATTGTAGTTGGAAACAATACCTTTATTTTATTTATTTTTATGTGGTGTTGAGTATTGAACTCGGGGCCCTGCACGTGGTAGGCGATCGCTCTATTGCTGAGCCACAATCCCAGCCCAATACTTTTATTTCTAATAAAGTTTTTAATGTTCTTTGATTTATACAGGCAAGATTATATAATAGAAAATATAGTAAACATTTCTGTATGACATAAAGCTTTCTAAAGACCTTTCTTCTTTCCCCCTCTCCTTCTCTCTCTTCCTTCCTCCTTCTTCCTTCCTCCTCTCTCTTCCTCCTTCCCCTCCTCCCCATTTTTTCTTTCCTTCTTCCCTTCACCTTTGTGCTGGGGATTGAACCTAGAGTCTATCTCATGCTAGATAAGTGCTCTGTCACTGAACTATTTCCTCAGTCCTGATTATTTTCTTCATCAAAGTTTTGATGCATTTGTTTCTTTCTGCTTCTTTTGCTTCTGATCACCACACTTTTTTTCTGGATCCTAATGAAAGAAAATTATTAACAGCATGTTACTTCATCCCAAAACATGTCAGCTTTTTCCTTCTAAAAATAAATATATTCTCTATAACCAAAATACATTGATCCTGCCCAAGAAACTTATATTAATACAATACTCATATCTGAGGTAGAGTTCATTTTCAGATATCTTCAGTTGTCTAATATCTTTATGGCTTATACGGAAGTATCTCTTAATTTGGTCTGTCTTGTTGATACATAGGCATATTTGAAGAGCCCTTTTAAAAACCTTCACTTAATCTTATCCTTTTTGTGTTAGAGTTTAGATGTTTGGTTATTAGTGATTGCATAAATAAAAATGTTCTATAAAGTTTTCACCGCTGAACTGGGTGAGGTGGCACATGCCTGTAATCCCAGTGGCTCAGAAGGCTGAGGCAAAAGGATTGTGCGTTCAGAGCCAGCCTCAGCAATGGTGAAGCACTAAGCAACTCAGTGAGACCCTGTCTTTAAATAAAATACAAAATAGGGCTAGGGATATGGCTCAGTGGTTGAGTGCCCCTGAGTTCAATCCCTGGTACCAAAAAAAAAAAGTTTTCACTGCTGAGATGAAACATAGAAATAGTCCAAATGCAGGAGAATAATAGCTCTAATATATACCTGTAGTTTTTTTTCTATATCTATTATTACTACTCATTTTTCTAAGATGAAGAGGTATTTTTTTCTGCTGAAAACTTAATATGGAGCTAATAATGTAGCTTTATTTAAAGAATCATAATGTTGTGATGATCTATTAGGATATTTATATGTTTTAATTGTTTTCTATTGTCAGAAAGTTGTATCTGTAATCACTAAGGTATATTGCTTGTTTCCAGGAGACTAAGCGATGAAAAAAACCTTCCTCTTGACGGTAAACGGCAGCGTTTCCATTCACCCCACCAAGAGCCAATTGTAGTCAACCAGATAGTGCCTTTATCAGGTGAACGAAGATACTCGATGCCGCCATTGTTTCATACGCCCTATGTACCAGATATAGTCAGATGTGTTCCACCTTTTCGAGAAATACCATTTTTAGAACCTAGAGAAATCCCATTGCCTGAGGCCAAAGATAAGGTAAGAATAATGCCGATTTTAGTTTTGTCTTTGGAAATTTAATATAAATAATGTATTAAAAGAAGCTGTTTAAAGTACTTTTCATCCCAATTTTCTAAGTATTACTTTGAATTTTGTTTGCTATTTTATCTATGTCATCAGGGAATCAGATTTTCCCTGATTTATCAAAATTTGGAATGAGAGCCTAAAACACTTGATTTTATAGTTTAAACTCTTGTTACTTGTTCTTATTTACAGAAAAATTAGTTTTTCATATGATTATTGTAATACAGTGTTAAAAAGCACTTTCTTTTAGAATATTTGTGTTTATTATAAGGTTTTTAATTGTCAAAAATAAAGAATTCAGGAGTCTCTGAGGAAGTAATACATTCAAAGTAATATGATCAACGGGCTGGGGATGTGGCTCAAGCAGTTATCCCGCTTGCCTGGCATGCGTGCGGCCTGGGTTCGATCCTCAGCACCACATACAAATAGAGATGTTGTGTCCGCCAAAAACTAAAAAATAAAATTAAAAATATTAAAAAATTCTCTCTCTCTCTTAAAAAAAAAAAGATCAAAGTAATATGATCAAAAGAGACAACGAAAATATTTGTAAAAATCTTTCAGGTAAAATGAAATGTAACTATTTAAATAATAATTCTTGGAAATTGACATTGTCAGCATTGGGAAGTTATTTAATACTCAATAGTAGAAGTGTATCATATTTAGTTAAAGGTTACAAAAAAAACTTCTAGGTAATTGTGAAAGGTTTATTATGAAATATCTTTGCCCTTGTGGATTTTCTATGGCTTATACTTGATGTTTTTCAAAGCTACTCCTTTTGGACATTTGTAGGCTAAGGAGAAAGAGCCCAGAGAGTGTAGTGACTTTGCTTTACTCATTTTTGGGTTCCTAGCAACCAGTGCAGGTCTGGAACATAGAAAATGGCAGGTCAAAAAAGCAACATCTGCTTCATTTCTTCTTTGGGCTGCTTTTTAATTTTCTATCTTTCTTTGAGTTATGATGATACCATAAAATTTACCCTTTCATATGTACAATTTGGTGGTTTTTAGTATATTCACAAAGTTCTGCAACCATCACCACCAACTAATTTCAAAACATTTCATCACTCCCCAGAGAAACCTTGTACCAAGTAGCAGTCAGTCCCCTATCTGTCATCCCCACCACTTCTTCCCATGCCTACAAAAACTACTATTTTCCTGTGGAATTGTCTATTCTAGACATTCCATATAAGTTGACGAATACAATATATGGCCATTTGTGTCTATTTTTACTTGGCATAATGGTTTTGGGATTTATCCATTTTGTAGCATCTATCAGTACCATATTCCTTTTTATATTTGAATAATATTCCATTTTGTGCTTATCATCTTTTGTTAATACATTTGTTAATTGATTAATTTTTAGGTTTTTATTTTTTGGCTGTTATGAATAATGCTGATGTGAATATATTTGTACACATTTTTATATGAATATATTTATTTTTATTTCTCTTAGGTGTATACCTGGGCATAAAATTGTTGGTATATGGTAATTCTTTGTTTAACTTTTTTTTTTTCCTGTCAGTGCTAGGGGTAGAACCAAGGGCCTTGCATATGCCAGGCAAATACTCTATCACTGAGCTATATCCTCAGTCCTATATTTAACTCTTTGAGGATCAGCCACAGTATTTTCTTAAGTGCTTGCACAATTTTAGATTCCAATTGCAGCGTACAAATGTTCTGCTTTCTTCCTATCCTTGCCCATGTTTGTGACACTTGTTATTGTCTTTTTCATTTTGTTTGTTTTTGGTAGTGAGCCAGGGGCTTGGGCATGTTAGGTAAGCTCTCTACCATTGAACTATATCCTACATCCCAGCCTTGTCTTTTTTAGTATAGCCATGTTAGTGGGTGTGAGATGATATCTTGTGAATGTTTTTCTTCAATACTGCCAATTGAACCCACGCCCTTGTACATGCTAGGCAAGCATTCTACCACTGAGCTACATCTTCAGACCTTCTCATTGTGATTTTGATTTGCATCTTCCTAATGATTAATGTTGTTGAACATCTTATCATTTGCTTGTTGGATATTTGGATGTCTTGTTTGGAGAAATGTCTTTTCAGATTGTTTGCACATTTTTAAATTGGGTTGTTTTTATTGTTTAGTTAAAGAGTTTTTATTTTCTAAATATCAGACCATTATCAGGTATATGATTTGCAAATATTTTGTTTCTTTCTTGATTTGTCTTTTAACTTTCTTGTTGGTAACTTTAAAGGACAGAATCTTTTCATTTGCAGTTCAGTTAATTTGTTTTTGTTTATTTGCTTGTGCTACTAGTATTGAATCTAAGAATCCATTGCTTAATCTACGTAATGAAGCATAATGCTGTTCTGAGATTTTTATAGTTCTATTTCTTTTTCCTTTCTTTTAGGTACCAGGGATTGAACTTAGGTGGCACTTACCCACTGAGCCACATCGCCAGCCCTATTTTGTATTTTATTTAGAGACAGGGTTTCACTGAGTTGCTTAGCGCCTCACTTTTTTGCTGAGGCTGGCTTTGAACTTGCAATCCTCCTGTCTCAGCCTCCCAAGCTGCTGAGATTACAGGTGTATGCTACTGTCCCTGGCTAGTTCTATTTCTTATATTTAGAAATTAATACATTTTGAGTTAATTTTTGTGTATGATATAAAGTAGGTGGTTCAGCTTTATTCTTTTGCTGTTAGTCCACTTGTCCCAGCACTATATATTGAAAAAACTATTCTCCTGTACATTTCTTCCTTTAAGATAAAGTAGAACCAGTGGGAGAGAGGAAAAAGCAAAATGAAATGAGAAAAGACCAACTTGGGATGTTTTGGTGCTCTTTCTTCCTTCCTCTTTCCCCATTCTTTCTCCCTTCTTTGCTTTCTCATTTTAAAGAAATTTATGATGCTATAATGTGAAAACGTATGGTAGAAGCAATTTATTTACTAGTTCTAGAAGCAAATCTGTTAATTTTTTTGAATGAATATATAAACATAGACTATATATGGGTTTTTAGTATATAGACTATATATGGATTTTTAGTATATGTATGTCCCTAGGACCTTTTTTAAAATTTATTTATTCCTATTTGTTATATATGACTGCAGAATGTAATTCATTTTATATTACACATATAGAGCACAATTTTTCAAGTCTCTGGTTGTATACAAAGTACTTTCACACCATTCATGTCTTCATACATGTACTTAGGGTAATGATGTCTAACTTATTCTACTGTCTTTCATATCCCCATGCCTCCTCCCATCCCTTCCCTCCCCTTTGCCCTAAAGGTTCTCCATTCCTCTCCATGCTCCACCCTGCCCCATTTTGAGTCAGCATCCTCATATCAAAGAAAACATTTGGCCTTTGTATTTTTAGGATTGGCTTATTTCACTTAGCATTATATTCTCCAACTCCATCCATTTACCTGCAAGTGCCATGATTTTATTCTCTTTTAATGCTGAGTAATATTCCATTGTGTATATATATACTAAATTTTCCCTTTCCATTCATTTACTGAAGGGCATCTGGGTGGTTCCACAATTTAGCTATTGTGAATTATTCATTATTACATTGATGTAGCTGTGTTCCTGTAGCATGCTGCTTTTAAATTCTTTGTGTATAAACTGAGGAGTGGGATAGCTGGGTCGAATGGTGGTTCCCTTCCAAGTTTTCCAAGGAATCTCCATACTGCTTTACAGATTGGCTACACTAATTTGAAGTCCCACTAGCAATGTATGAGTGTGCCTTTCCCCCACATTCTCGCCAATACTTACTGTTGTTTGTATATATAATAGCTGCCATTTCTGACTGAAGTGAGATGAAATCTTAGTTTTGATTTGCATTTCTCTAATTGATAGAGATGTTGCACATTTTTTCATATATTTGTTGATTGATTGTATATCATCTTCTGAGAAGTGTTTTTTTTTTTGGTGTTAAGTTTTTTGAGTGCTTTATATATCCTATAGATTAGTGCTCTGATGTGCTTTGTTCCCATTCTGTAGGCTCTCTATTCACCTCACTGATTGTTTCTTTTGCTGAGAAGAAGCTTTTTAGTTTGAATCCATCCCACTTATTGATTATTGATTTTAATTCTTGTGCTATAGGAGTCTTGTTAAGGAAGTCAGGGCCTAATCTGACATGATGAAGATTTGGGCCTACTTTTTTTTCTATTAGGCACAAGGTATCTAGTTTAATTCCTAGGTCCTTGATCCACTTTGAGTTGAGTTTTGTGCATGGTGAGAGATAGAAGTTTAATTTCATTTTGTTACATATGGATTTCCAGTTTTCCCAGCACCATTTGTTGAAGAGGCTTTCTTTTCTCCAATGTATGTTTTTGGTGCCTTTGTCTAACATGAAATAACTGTATTTATGTGGGTTTGTCTCTGTGTCCACTATTCTGTACCATTGGTCTACAGGTCTGTTTTGGTGCCAATACCATGTTTTTTTTTGTTGTTGTTGTTTCTGTTGCTCTGTAGTATAAAGTCTGGTATAGTAATGCCACCAGCTTCACTCTTCTTGTTAAAGATTGCTTTGGCTATTCTGGGTCTCTTATTTTTTCAGATGAATTTCATGGCTGCTTTTTCTATTTCTATGAGGAATGTCATCAGGATTTTGATTGGAATTGCATTGAATCTATATAGGCTTTTGGTAATATGGTCATTTTGACAATATTAATTCTGCCTATCCAAGAACAAGGTGGATCTTTCCATCTTCTAAGGTGTTTTTTGATTTCTCTCTTTAGGGTTCTGTAGTTTTCATTGTAGAGGTCTTTTACCTCTTTTGTTCAGTTGATTCCCAAGTATTTAATTTTTTTTTTTTTTTGGTGGCTATTGTAAATGGGGTCGTTTTTCTAGTTTCTCTTTCAGAGGATTTGTCACTGATGTACACAAATGCCTTTGATTTATGGGTGTTGATTTTATATTCTCCTACTTTGCTGAATTTATTTACTAGTTCTAGAAGATTTCTGGTGGAATTTTTTGGGTCTTCTAGCTATA